GGGGGGCGTGCCGGCCTCTAGTCTCAACTCTAACATAGAAAAGCTACAGGAAGTACATATGTGTATACGTCAATGCACCTAATCAAATATCTGACTGAGCACCATAAAAGGTCTAAATTACACAACAGTGTTAACAGCAATAGTGTGCTAGAGTAGAAGCACCTTTTAGTCTATTCCAAGCAACCCAACCTCAAATGCCTGACAGGCAACAAAATAAAGGAAGCAGGCCAGTGGAGTTAAGGGCAGTCTGGAGTGTGTAGGCCAGGTCTAAAAGTGCAAATACCACTCATCTCCACGTGATCATGCATGAGGGAGTGCAGGCTTGCGTTGTCAGTACCTTCAAATTTTTACAAGAAATCACATTGTCATGTGAAATTTTTTAGTTTTCTAACATTCACACCAAGTTAAACAATTTTTTTTTTAAGTATTACACAGGACAAACAAAATACTTCCATAGGCTGAACCTGAATCTTTCCCTTCAGAAACATTTTACTTTTCCCCCTTTTATTACAACTAATAGCATGTGTCAGTTACCTAAAAATTTAAGGAATATAAGACCACTTTAATTCTTTGAGATAGTTTCCCCATCTATAAAATGAAAGGGTAGACTCAGAATGACTGCTAAAGTTATTGCCTGTTCTAACCTACAAATCTACTAAAACACAAGTCCCATGGGGCTATCAGTGGGATGAGCTAAAAAGAAAAACAAACAAAAAAACAACACATGACGCCAAGCATCAGTTAATAATAGAAGGAAATGATGCTCAATTCTGAGCACAAACTGCAAGAATCCTTATAGACACAAGCCAGATATGTACATATATGTATATACATATGAATGAAAGAAGGAAGCAAAGGTGAAGGAAGAAGAACATACACAAACTTACGCAACCCAGGTACTTTGTTTAAAATAAAACCAAACTTTAACAAACCTCAATACTAAGGATTTCAAACTTCTCTTTTACAGACTTGCTGCTTTCTCTCTTTTCGATTTTCAACTTTTTTGTTTTTGCTGGCCCTTTCTGGCTCTTTTTCCTTTTGGTGGATTCCTCTTCAGTAGAAATCTAAAGGGGGAAAAGATCTCGAAGAATGAAAAGCAATACTGGCCTTTCTTTCCAATTTCAGGTCATACGTCACCTTGCTCTGTTACTGCTCTTCTCCACCCCACTCTCAAATGTTCCTTTAATTAACTTACTTCAATCCCAACTTTTCCATTCTGCCCCCAATGCTCCCTTTGCCCAAAACCTGCCCTTCATGTTCTCAAAAGCCCCTTCTCTCCAGTGTTCTTCCTCCCTTGACTTAGGATGGACACTGGCATTCCCCAAAATAAGAAGCAATTTGGAACAGTGCATGAATGGAAGGTAGAATAACAAAGACCAAGTTAAACTCCCAATTCCACCATAACAAGCTGTGTGGTTTCAGCTAAATTATATAACCTCTCTTAGCCTCGGTTCCTCACCATAGAATGATGATCTGTGTTTCATAGTACAGTTGGGAAGATTACATAAAATAAACATAAAGCCATACAATCAAATGTTAGTTTCCTTCCCTCCAGCATTTAGAGCACAGCCTAATGTAGGTGAAGACTATGAATTCTAATGCAAATTCTGACCTATAATTATACATGGCAACAAGGATCCCAGCAAAAATACAATGATCAAATGCTTTCTCTCCATCCTGTATCAACACCCAACAAAGTTCGTAAGAATAAGGAATAAGAGTACTGTAAACTCAAATATTAAATGCCATGCTTCAAAAGATATAGTCTTGCCCGGCTGGGCATGGCTCAGCAGTTGTGCACCAACCTAGGATCCAAGAGATCATGGTTCGATTCCCAGTCAGGGCACATGCTGGGGTTATGGGCTTGATCCCCAGTTGGAGGAGTACAGGAGGCAGCCGATCAATGACGACGCTCTCATCGTTGATGTTTCAACTCTCTCTCCCTCTCCCTTCCTCTCTCTGAAATCAATAAAGATATATTAAAAAAAAAAAAAAAAAAGATATAGTCTTGCCCTAGCCGGTTTGGCTCAGTGGTTAGAGCATTGGGCCATGGACTGAAGGGTCCTGGGTTCAATTCCAGCCAAAGGAAGGCACCTCTGTTGCAGGCTTGATCCCTGGCCCCGGGACGCGTGCAGGAGGCAACCAGTTGATGTGTCTCTCTCACATCAATATCAATGTTTCTCTCTCTCTCTCTCCCTCCCTCTGTCCTTCCCTTCCACTCTCTCTGAAAAGCAATGGAAAAAAATACCCTTGGATGAGAATTAAAAAAAAAAAACATATAGTGTTGTGGTGGTAAGGACTCTCTAACATGTTCAATTTACAAACACAGACTTCAAAAAGAAACAAATCTGGAAAACAACACAATTCTCAAACAGGGCTCATTCTTCACAAGGACACTACAAAGAAAAGTGTTCAGTAACTATTATCAAACAAGCATACCACTTACATCAAATAAGTTGTCTTGTTCAACTGACTGCTGGAAAGCTTTCTCGGATTTGTGGGTCTTTCTTGTACCCCCACGGGGGAAACTTTCTTCCATGGTTGCCATGTTTGGGTCTCCTAAAAACAAGGAGATGTAACTTTGGTGTCAGATTTCCCAAAGGCTGTGAACAACGGGCAAGAGATAGAAGCACCAATGTGCTAGAAAGCATTCAGGACCAAAGAATAGATGGCTTGACAACAGGCCCCAGATAATCTACAATTCATCTTTCCAAAGGTCTCTCCTTCAAAAATCACAAATCCACACATTTTCCTCCAAAGAAAGAAGTTATAGATTCAATGTAGTAAATTTCATTAAGCAGCTACAGTTAAGTCAGAAATACACACATATATAACTCCCTACCTTCAAAGAACACGACCACTTTCAAGAAAATAAAACAATTATGCAAATAATTTAAAATACAAATCAGATTATAAACTATCAACAAAGAGATAGGAAGTGATGAGGCTTCAGTACAGGATGGAAGTGCCCTAAAGAAGATGGTTTTCCCCTGCCTGGTTGGCACCGAGGATCAGGAAAGGATGTATGTTTCGTAGAAATAGGAAAATGAAGTCTGGTTTGCTGAGAACTTTATCCTTAATCTCATTTCAGACAAGGAGAAACTAGAGCTTCAAAGAGATAGGCGATCTAGTAGCAAAAAAAGGGGCTTAAGCTGCTTCCCGGGGTCAGAGGTGATGTTACAGGGACCAGTCGAGCACAGCCGGCTTCTGACCCCGGCTGCGGTGGTAGAATCACCCGGCACGACGGGGTGCATGGCAGGGACCCGGGCAACCTAGCCCTGGGACAGATCTGGAAGCCGCCACAGGGTTTCCTCCCATATAGCCTTTGCCCTCACTCACCAGCCTCGCGACGCGAACCAATCTCAAGTTCAGAGGCCGCGCCACTGCAGTCACACACGCGGAGACCCGTGCGGCCCAAGCACAACGCCGCTCTTCCGGGAGCGTGGGCGGGCTCAACGCCTTACTTCCGTTACTATACCTGGTCCCTGCTATGCATAGGGGGCGGAGATTTAGAAACAGGAAGCGGAAGACCGGGACTTTGAGCCATAGCCAATCGAGGTCGAAGGCTGTATTGCTCAGGCCCGTAGGACGCTTGCGGGAGGCGGCTTCTTCCGGCGGGGCCGAGGGGAAGCTCCGTACGTTGAAGGACACAGCCTGCGGGATTCGTGCTTTTTGCAAGGTGGGTATGGAGAGGAGCCTGTGCTCGGACCTCGCGCCTCAGGTTTGCGGCGCCGGCCGAGGATCCGACCATTTTTTGCTCGGGAACGCCGCGAGGCCTTCGCTTTGGGGGGCGAGGGCGGCGGGTAAGGGAAAAGGAATTTGAGATCACGAGGCTGGCGGTGTGAGGGGTCGGACAGTAGCTGTGCGGCCTTGGGCGTCGCGAATGGACGCTCCCAAGGGCTCCCGGAAGCCCTTAGATTGCATTTTTAATTGAGGAAAATGAGGCCGGCAGCGAAGGGAGTCCCCCAAGGTCACCCAGTGACGTAATATTGGTTGAGAACTTGAGCTTCTGACCCCACCTCTGGCCGAATTAATTTCTTTTCCTCTGTATGCCCGTAGTAGCTTGTGTCCGCTGAGCTGTGCTGAGGAAGCTTGCCAGCCAGACCTCCTTTAGCTGCGCCGCAGCCTTTGTCAGAGCGAGGCTAAGTGGGGCCCGGCCCCTGCAGTTCTCCAGGCCGGCGGGTAGCGGGTTAGATTCAGATACCATTATGTTCGATCAACTGGAAGGCCTTTTCTAGGAGGTACAGCCAGAACAGAGAATTGTAAACCCTATGAAGTTACAGGAGGCTGGTTCTGGTACCTGAGCGGCTCTCGCTCATCTTTGCCTGCTTTACTTCGTAATCTTACCATTCCAGGTAGGTGTCCATACAGGAAAACAGTAGTATCGAGAAACAGAAGGTATCTAGGGCAATTAATCACTTTGGGCCTTTTTTGAAATGCCAGTTTTACAGGTGAAGAGAGGCATGGACGGATTAATTATACCTGATAACTATTTGCCAGTTAATTACAAACAAAAGTGAAGACTATTGCTTAGACCTTCCCCACAGGCTGGCATTTAACAAATAGTACAATTATTCTTAGGTTATTTTTTCCTTCCGGGATACGTCTTAGTATTACTCTAAAGGAAAGCAAGTTTCAGTTCAATTATTCCACAAAGGGCACTCTAACACAAAGGTTTCTGATCTTTGCCCAAGAGTAACAAGCAGTTTGCTGAGGAGTGCCCAGTGTTTCAGGCTTTGCTCCCATTGTTTATCTTACCAGCAACATCCCACATCCCACTTCCTGCTCCATCTCAGCCTCTAAAGAGTCTTCCTATAAGACCCAGAGTAAATTTCAGTTCCTATACCATGCTCTTAAGTCAGAATTAGCCCTCTGTGGACTGTCACAAACATCAGACTTCATCCCATATTGTGTAGAGGGAGCTTTAAAGCATCCTAAGTTGTTTTAGTTGCACACCATATCTCCTAAAAATTTTTGTTAGGCGGAGGTAGTGGGGGTTATGAGTTAATAATTTGACAAAGTCCTTGTTTTCTGTAGGGTTTCTCCTGGAAACCTACTTTCTACTATGAGAATTCAAAAATGTATCATGAAGGTGAATGGGCCTTTAATAAGTTTAATAAAATGAAACAGTTAATATAAAAGCTACATCACAAAGGTTTCTTTAATGGAGATGTTCCTACATGTGCTGGACAGGCCAAAGCCGCTAAGGGGGCCCAAGAACGTTCTTGAAACAGTTCAAAATTAAGGTCATTTGTCAAAAATTTTCATTGCCAATTCTGTGCACATGAGTGCCTCTGAAGGCCTTTGAATGGTAAACAGGAGAGTGCCAGTTACCATAGCAATGACTTCCTCACAGATCTCTTTCTCTTCCATTTCATCAAGAGCCAGCTGTAGCACTGCCACTGCTTATCAATCTCGACCGGACCTCGACCGGCTCGTCTATGTTGCCATTCGACTCGGCGAGGCGTCGGTCGTGGTAGATAGGTGGTCATACATACGAATTTTCAAGCATTGTTCTGGTGACTTTTGAATATGCCTTTGCTATTTTTATTATAAGAGAAATACATGTCTTTGTAAAATACACAGGTACTATAGATATAACTCCTGAAAAGTTTGCTATATATTCTTCCATTGTTTTCTGCAGTGTTTTTCAAACTTTAACATACATCAGAAACACCTAGAGATTGCTGGGCCCCAGAGTTTCTGATTCATTAGACTTGAGGTGTAGGGCCTGACAGTTTGCATTTCTAACAAGTTTCCAGTGATGTTGATGCTGCTGGCCTAAGGACCAGACTGGGAGAAGCATTTATGTGCTCTATAATGTCCACAAGTAGGATTTTCTTTTTCTTTTAATATATCTTTATTGATTTCAGAGAGAGGAAGGGAGAGGGAGGGAGAGAGGTAGAAACATCATTCATCAGCTGCCTCCTGCACACCCTCTACTGGGGATCGAGCCCACAGCCCAGGCATGTGCCCTGACCAGGAATCAATCGAACCTTGATCTCCTGGATCCTAGGTCGATGCGAAACCGCTGAGCCATGCTGGCCAGGCAGGATTTTTTTTTTTAATTTAACATTACATGGAGACATCTTTCCATGTCAATACATAAATAAAGATCTACACATATTGTATTTTCTCCAGTAGAAACAATCATTTGTCAGTCTCCTATAGGTGGACTTTTAGTTTTTCTGGTTCACTTTCATAAACAGTGTTTCAGTCACCATCCTTGAACCATGTAGCATGTTTCCACTTTTTAATATTTCTGAGGGTAAATTCCTGGAGAACAAGTGAACCAGCTAGATAAAAGGGTGTACTAAATTTATAATTTGATTGATATGCAAAATTGCTCTTTAGGAAGTTGTACCAGTTTATACTCTAGGCAACAGAGGGAGTGCTTATTTTCTAACCATCTTACTACTGCTTATAATTTTATTTTTGCCAGTCTGCTAAATATTGGTCTCATTTTACATTTCTTTGATCCTGAGGTTGATTATCATTTTGTGTTTTACCATTTTACCCTTTTGTTGTTTTTATTTCCCTTCCCTAAGATGATTAAAATATTTGCCCATGTTTTCTAACAGGATTTTTTGCTTTTCACTATATTTTTTTAAAATCCTCACTTAAGGATATGTTTATTGATTTTAGAGAAAGGACTGGGGTGAGAGAGAGAGAGAGAAAGAGAAAGAGAGAGAAACATCCATTGGTTGCCTGCTATACACACTCTGGCTGGGCACCAAACCCGAAACCTAGGTATATACCTTGATCAGGAATCAAATCTGCAACCTTTTGGTGTACAGGACACTCCAACCAACCAACCATCCAGCCAGGGCTTGGTTTTTAGTATTTACATTTAAATATTTTATCTATTTTGGTGCAAGCAAAAAAGATTCCAGTTTCCCCACCACCAACAGCTACTATATATCAACTCCATTAGGTAATGATCCCTTATCTGTCCTCCCATGGAAGTCTTAAATTATTTATTTAAAAAATTGTAAAAGGAGAGGTTACAAGTTGAGCTGTTTAGTTGGTGGTTAGCCCACTGAGAAACTTTGAAAAATTTCACAAGATCTAACTTTCAACTAATCTTAAAACTGATTAATTCCGTGTACATTGTACCATGGTATAGATAGAGCCAAAATGGAAAACATCAAGCAATATTGGGTCAGACGGTGGACTTAGAGACTGAGTTCTCTTCCTATGCCGAATGATTTGACGTACATTCTGGAGTGTTGTGTAAAAGCAACCAAGGTAAAGTCTTTTAAATTGCATCCAAACCAATTTATTGTCTTCTTTCTTTTTTTAAAAGATTGAAATCATGGCAGGTCCAGAAACTGATGCCCAATTCCAATTCACTGGTATCAAAAAATATTTCAACTCTTATACTCTCACAGGTAGAATGAATGTAAGTATTAATGATACCTTTAAGCAGTTTTATTTTAGAATTATAGAAGTGTGACAACATCTTTTTACTTTTTACTTTCTTTTTCAGTGTGTACTGGCCACATATGGAGGCATTGCTTTGCTGGTTTTATACTTCAAGCTAAAGCCTAAAAAAACTCCAGCTGTGAAAGCAACATAAAAGGTAAGGAGTTGACATTTAAAAGTTTATAACTTAGCCATTCTGATGTTATGGTTTTTCCCTCTGACTATAAAAGTAAATCATTGTCATTATGCAAACCTTATTACGTACAAGAAAAAATATTACCCATATCACATCACCCTGATAAGTTTAGTTACCATTTTGATTTAGCTCTCTTTTGTATATTTTATTTTGTTTTCATTGGCTATGATTCATGACTGTGTTTTGTCTTATGACAGGTGAGTTTTCTATCATTTGAATGTATGAGTGCTTGTGGATATATGATTTATTTTACAGAGGAAACGTGTCTCCTGTTAGATTTCGTTTTAATATAACATTACAATCAACACTTTAGAGCATGAAGTAAAGTCTACATCTATGATTGTTTCTTAGGCTGAAGTTCTTTCCCAAACAGTTGTGGGGCACCCAGCTTTGTAAAAGGTTGTCTAAGTGATACGGTTTTTTTTGCAATTGCTTATCATTTGTATTTTCCTAAACATTCTTTTCATGTGCTTTTCTCATTTAACATTGGGACTTTTATCTTTGTGAAGACCTTATTTCTCTCGTATAAGGTCTTTATGTAATAATTAACCAGTTTTTTTTAATTTTTTTTTTAAATCCTCATCTGAGGATATTTTTTTCCATTGCTTTTCAGAGAGAATGGGAGAGAGAAAGAGGAAAAAAAAAATCGATGAGAGAGACACATCGACTGGTTGCCTCCCACACAAACCCCAACCAGGGCCAGGGATTGAGCCTGCAGCCACGGTACGTGCCCTTGGCCGGAATCAAACCCAGGACCCTTCAGCCCATGGGCCAACACTGAGCCAGACCAGCTAGTGCTAACCAATCTTTTAAATCAGTTGCAAATATAGCTCATTTTTTACTAGTTTGCTAGTTTCAAGATGTTTCTTTTAAGCATTTTTTATGTCAGTTAAAGTTGACATATAATACTAGTTTCAGGTGTACGCCCCAGGGATTAGACATTATATAACTTACGAAAAGTAACTCATCCCAAGAAATCTCATACCTATCTGACACCATACATAGTTATTAGAATTTTTTTAATGTTTTTATTGGTTTTAGAGAGGGGGGAGGGAAAGAGAGATAGAAACATCAATGAGAGAAAAACATCAATCAGCTGCCTCCTGCATGCCCCCTACTGGGGATCGAGCTGCAACCCACCCGTGTGCCCTGACCAGAAATTAAACCAGTGCCCTCCTGGTTTGTGGGTCAACACTCAACCACTGAGCCATACCTTCATCAGGTTAGGGAAGTTTTCTGTCATTTTTTCAAATAGGTTTTCAATTTCTTGCTCAATTTCTTCTTCTAGCAATCCCCCATGATGCAAATGTTGGTACACTTCAAGTTGTCCCAGAGGCTCCTTACACTATCTTCATTTTGGGGGTTCTCCTTTCTTTTTGCTATTCTGATTGGGTGTTTTTTGCTTCCTTATGTTCCAAATTGCTGACTTGATTCTTGGCTTCATCTGCTCTACTGTTGATTAGCTGTAAATTACTCATTTCAGTTAGTGTATCCCTCATTTCTGACTGGTACTTTTTTATGGTTTCCATGTCATTTTTTTATGCTGTTGAAGTTCTCACTTAAGTTCATTGAACATCCTTACAACCAGTGTTCTGAACTTGGCATCTAGTAGATTGTCTCCATTTTGTTCTGTTCTTTCATTTGGGATATGTTTCTTTGTCTCCTCATTTTGGCAGCCTACCTGTGTGTGTTTCCCCAGGCTTGGTAGAGGCCTTATGTAGTAGGTGTTCTTTAGGGTCCAGTGGCACAGCCTCCCTAATCACCCAAGCTGAGCACTCCAGGTGTGCCCCCTGTGTGGGGTGTGTACACTTTCCTGTTGTAGTTGAGCCTCACTGCTGTTGGCATAACAATGGGAGGGATTTACCCCCAGCCCAGTCGGCTGCAAGGACTGGCTGCAACCACCAACCACCGTGGAGGATCAGTGGGGCTCTGGTGCCTGCTGAGTCTGTCTCTTGACTATGTTGCTTGTGAAAGTAGTTGGGTGGTACATTGATGTGGTCTGAAGCTTCCCAATGGGTGCACTCGCTCTGGCGTCTCGAGAGGTACAGGCCAAGGTCAGCCACTCCTTGTGTTCTGACCACCACCTGTGTTCTGCCTGGGGCCACCTGGCATGAGCTACAAAGCAACCTGCAGGTGGCTGCTACTTGTGCTGGGCTTGGAGGTACCCAGGTGAGGCCAACCTGCAAACCAAGGCTGGCTACTGCTAGTGCCAGTCCTTCAGCCACTTAGCAAGAGGAGATTTTTGGCAAGTCTGAGCATGAGCCAAGACAGGCCATTCATAGGGAAAAGCCCCTGGAAACAGCTTGGATGGGGTCTCAGGTAATCACCAGGGTGGGGCAGTGTGAGCCAGGTTGATGGAGACTCAGATATGGTGCCCACCTGCCAGCTTGGTTGGAGGGGGGCTCAGAAAAGGAACAATGGCCTCTGCCAGCATTTTTGTCTGGCACAAAGCTGGCCCCCCAGTTCTCACCCTAATGCCAGACAATTCATTTCCTGCCCATATGTCCCTGGTCCCTTTCGAGCTGCTGTCCTAGCACTGGAGTTCAGAGGGAGTGAGTCAGAGTATGTCTGTGTGCAGGCCCTTTAAGAGGACCTGCTTAATTCCCTAGTTGTAGGATTTCCATTTAGCTAGATTTTGGGCAGTTCTTAATGATGATTGTTTTGTAGTTTAGTTGTAGTTTTGATGTGGTTGGTTTCAAGTTTTTATATATATCTTTTCCTTAAATCCCCATATACTTCATTTTCTTCTTATAGTGCCAACTCCCAGTTTACCTATGCTTGAGTGAATAAATATGTGTGTCAGCAGTAAATGATGGGCAGAAAACCCAAAATCCAGATCTTTGTCCAATGTAGCTCTCCACGAACAGAAAATTTTCCCTCTGCTTTTAAGAGCTTTTCCAATCCTTAAGGGACTGAATACCCCAGAATGCAAATGTATTTTACTCAATTTTCCGTGTTAGGTACCCCCACCATACAAATGGAGAAATTATGTCTCAGATTCTAAATATCTGACACATACTAGATAATATACCCGACTTCTGTTTAAAATGTTACTTTATATACTTGACTTTTCCAATAGCATACATTTAGGATCATACTGAATTGTTGGCAGCTCTTTTGTTAAAGGTAAAATGTTAGGTTAAATTATATTATGCTGAGATACACCTTAATTTTGGAGGTTACTGACTCCTTTGAGAATTTGATGAATTTGCATTCAATTTCGGGGTTCATGTATAGTCCTATACCAGTTACTGAATGTCTTGAAAGTAAAGTTGAACACGTTTGTGTCTGAACTATTTTTGCTTTGTTTATAGGATTCTAAATTGTACATCTGTTAATTTCCCAAGCCTGGAGAAGCTAATGTCAACTCATCATGTGATACTCAATTTGTACAATAAATTATGAACCTGGAAAAGCTGGTTGTCTTTATTTACAAGATATCAAAAATATAAAAACTGTACAAATGCAACAAAGGCAAAAAACTGGCAGTGACTTGGTCTGAATTTTAGTTTCTCAAAGCAAGGCTCAGTACTGGAGGTAAGCAACTGAAATGTCTGTCTGACTTCAAGTGTACAAGGTTGTGAATAGCCATTTTAGCTGAAGTAGAACATGGAAGCTAAATTTCTTCACCTGACTTATAGAGTGTTTCGGTGCACTCAAAATCTAACAGGTGCAAATTCAGATGTCAGTGGGTGGTTGTATTTTATCTAAATCTTAGAAAGAAAGGAACTGTAGTTCACCCTACCTAGTTACATACATTCCACTAGTCATAGGCCAAGCAAAAATGTTGTAGGTCATTTAACATAGTACTTGAGTGCCATACAGTAACTACATTTTTACAGCAGAAAACATAACATGCTCATAGAATTCTTCAGCTAAAATTTAAGATGGTATTATATTACTCAATTTGAATCTTGAAGAGGAATTACTGAAATCAATTGGTTTTTTTCTAAACATAATAAATTAAAATAGCATTTGAACAGAAAATGCATAGTTTCCACACATTCCAAAGCACCATAAATGTCCCCTCCATGAACATAATACCTCTTATTCAACTAACGGAAATTAGTTAAATGTGGTTGCTATAGAAACGTGGAACTCTCCTGTTAAGATTTTCCAAGCAGCATACTTCCAGATCCATATAGACAAAACATTCTTTGTAGCTTAAATATTAATCACTGAGGTATTTGCTTTTAGACTCCCTTTTTCAAACAGTAGCTTCCAAAGGTCTTGAATACCGATGGTTTATTGCGGACTATAAGCTCCTGCAGCTAGAACCAAGTTTCTTCGAGTAAAATGGAGATGTACAACTGGTGTGGATTTGGTCATATATGTTCCCAACAATAACTCCTGTGAATTCTCAGGTAAATTTATATGCCCAGTGGCTGTAGTAAAGTCATCAGTCTCTAAATCTTCAAATGCTTTGATAGCATCCCATAACCGGACTGTATTATCCATTGAACCTAAAGGGAAAGTCAAAGGAAACCATTTAGTAGCATCTACTATATTTAGCTTCTGACATTTTGCCAAGTACAGTTTATTTACTGTATATTTCTGGTGAAAAATCTAAACTGATTAACAATTCTATTCCTTCTAAAGGAGCATTTCAAGCAGTAGTTTAACGTGAGGTCATTATACATGTAGAGTAATACTCTGGAATCATGGCTAAACAGAAGCAAAGCCTAAAACAGCAGGACTTAATTTTGCAATTGTCAACACTTATTGTTTCCTTTTAACATACCATACACCCTTTACCACAAAGCCATTTCTAGTCATTTACCTGATGCCAAAATTTCACCATCTCTACTAAACCTAAGTGAACAGACTGTATCGGTGTGGCCTTTTAATTCTCCAACCATCAAACCATGTCCAATATCCCAAAGGAGTACTCTGCCATCTGTTGCTCCTGTAGCCAGGAATCTCCCATTGGGAGAAAATGTCAAGGAATGAATTGGTCCCTAGAAAAGAAGTTCATAGAAACAGTCAATAGTAGGGCCAAAATCTAAGAAAATAAGACAAAGTTGGAATTTTTAAGTGTAGTGGTACGAATAGCATCTTTAGAATGTTTGTGTCACTGGTTCATTTTTTAAATATTTTTTTATCTCAGTAGCAACCTTGTGTACTGGAATAATGAAGGTGTAAAAATACCTTGTGTCCAGTGAAGATCCTTACACAGTTCCCATTCAGGACATCCCAGAGCCGCACAGTTCTATCTGCAGAGCCCGTAGCCACATAATTAGAATTTGGATGGAATCTGGTACAATTCACATCAGCAAGATGGCCAGCAAATATCCTTAAAGGCTGATAGTGGTCTGTAGCCCAGAGCCTTTTTAAAAATTTATTAAAAGTAAAGATAATAATTAGTAAACTATGAAATGCCACAATTCTATCCAAAATAAATATCTATGTGAAATGTTAGTTCCAAATGGGTCCCCCATCACTTGAAAAGAAGGAATGATTGAGACTAAACAACATTCTTAAGAAAAATGATCTGGTAAAAATATTTTTTTTATTATTCTTGAGTTCTCGCCTCCCGCCCTTCTATCCGATCCAACTCCTAGTCTAACCCATAGAAATCTTTGGTCACCACATAATTTCTGACCTGAGTTACCTCATCCTGAACTTTTAAAGAGATGACAGGGAAACAGGTGCTACAGTAGTAGTGAAAGACAAGGTTAAACAACTGATAAAAAACTGAAAAGATACATATAAAAAAAATAAATCTAAAAAAAGTTAAACAGCAGGTAGAAGGCAGGGAAAGTGTGTTAATAAGCTAACTTGAGAAAGAGAAATAACTCAAAACTCTTCATGTAGACATAATTATAGACATAGTAATACTTTTTCCAAATTCATTTTCAAATGAGCTATAAAGCTGACATTCTCTAAAAAGTTGATCCTGAATAACAGAAGTGAAAATGAATTTGGCCGAGTCGTAATTTCCAACAAGAAACCATTCTGTTCCCTGAGTAAACCCAGTTATAAGATCACAATGTACTTACCGAGCTACTCGGTCATGGCCCCCTGACACAAAATAATATCCATATGGAGAAAACTGTGTGTCCCAAACTGGATAATTGTGTCCTTTATATCCCACCAAGCAAGTAAATGTCTGAAGACTCCACAATCTAACAGTTCCATCCTCTGAAGAGGAAAGCAGGTAGTTCCTGAGGTAAGAGAATATATTTCCCAGAATAACTCTTAGTTACCTGTCCAGTTTCTATACATTTGAATATATTAAATATAGCTGACATGCTACATCTCACTTTTAATTTATATATGGCATTCACAAAAAGTAATACAAAGGGATAATGACAAAAAGTACAGTCAAGGTCAATTTAAAAAGGCTAAGGAATGTGATATGTCACTTCAATTTTTTATTTATTTATTTATTTTTTAATTTTTATTTTAAAATGAAGATGCTATTTTCCTATCCTGTATGACTTGTATAAGCATTTAAAAGGGAATAACTTTTTGACACACATAAAAGCAGAAACAAAAAACACTACAGACACATGAATAATCTACCTTTTTTAGGGATAGATACAAAAGCTGAACTACTCAAAGTAGTATGATTTTCACCAAAATCAAAAGTTTCCCTCAAGTAAAAATGTATCATCTGGCTAAACCCTAACAAACAACAAAAACCTCATTCTCAAAGGCTCATAAAGATGAAAATCTTGATGGATTAAAAGCTAATATCCAAGTAAGATACAGATGGTATGAATACAACATACCCTTTTCCCATTTCTATGGAATGTTAGAAATCATGATGCCTATTTATGGGCTACAAATTTCCTTGTTAATATTGTCTTAGTTCTTTTGATTGTACAAAAATAAATCTTCGATTAATAGCTAATAAGCCTTTAATCTCAGGAATCATAAGTTTAGAGATGGTGAAAAAGAGCAGTAGCCACAAACCCAAAGAAGCAAGTCAAATCAAGGGTTATACAAAACTAAAACTAATTTTTAAAACCAGCAAACCCTGAAGCTGTGCATCTCGAGTCTGTAAATTTGAATATACAGTAAGTTGCTATCTTGTACACACAAGATGAATTAGCAAATGGCAAGATTCTAAAAGATAATGACTGACAAGCAACCATGAGATTTTTCTAACAGAAAGTTCCCTAACATTTGCATAGTGTTTCCAGTAATTAACTTTTATATAATTTCAGTATAATAACAGCAGTACTTAAATTTATTGTTTGTACTTTACCTATCTGGACTGAAGCTGGCTCCATAGACAGGCCCACTGTGACCATACAAAATCTTTAACTCACTTGCTGTTTTCTCATCCATGATTCTTTCCAATACATCATCTGATTCTTTGTCTATGAGGCTAAGATCTAAAATGGTTCAGAAATACTGATTTTTAAAAGTACATTCATTAAAACATTTTACGGCAATCACATCACGGTTCAGAAGAAGAACTAACACTTGAACAGTTCCTTCTGCATACCACCCACTGTGCTAATGCTTCTAAATTAGGTGATACTATTCCAATGTATAGCAGAGGAAACAGGTGCGGAGGAGTTAACACCTTGCTGACCAGTCACTAGGTAACTCATGTCTGCACTTATTATATTAATTTAAGTAATTTTAAACACCTTGTTGACCAGTCAACGACAGAAAAGTAGCCAGCTGCACAAGTGAGTTTTGGCTTGAAATAGCCGGTTAGCAAGGTGTTTTAATAATTTGCTAGAGTGCACACAGCTAGATAATCAATGTTGGACCTAATGTAGGACTGAAACTCAAATTATCCACTATATCACAATGTTTCACAAAAATGAAAACCATTGAAAGTGTATTATTTTACTTAAAAGTACAGCAAGCATGAAATCCTGATCCCTTTTTTAGCCATTTTTTATGGCTAAAACAAGATATTCTCCCACTATCTGCTTTAAAGTTTTCTTAAAATTCACAAGCCATCAATCACAAAATGTTGTATTCTTAAACTTAAGGAGTTTTCTAGCCTAATCCCCTCATTCTACAGAGGAGAAAACTGAGGCCCAGAGAAATTAAACCAGTCTAGCACCCTAGTCTCCTGATTGCCACTCCAATGCAGCTATTGGGAATGTTAATATTTTGAGTTAAAGTAAAATCAAATGAAAGTCGACTAAAATCACAATCTCTGGCATATAATCCATAGAAATCAAGATTGGTGTAAACTAACAAAGAATTTACATCCTGACAGGTCATCTCAGTTACCTGCTGCTTGCTTGACACTACGAAGCTTTTTGGGAGTCACAGACCACACTCTAACAGTTGAATCTGCAAAACCTCCAGCAATCAAACTAGAATCATCAGTGACATCCACTGCAGTAAGGCCCTGACAAAAACAAAACAAAACAAAAACTTTATACCAAACAATATTGTTTTAGGGGAGAAAATTACAATCACATCTTATAGAATAAATAA